CACTCAGCAATACAAAATATGTATTGGCACATTTTGATGGCAAAGATTTGTGTCTTTTTAGTTGGGGGTAATACCTAGCTCTGCTGAATTTTGCTGACTTTTGACTCTGAACTCAGAGGTCACTCCAGGTGGGGCTCAGGGGACTATATTGAATGTTGATTGCACCCAGATAGACCATGAACAAAGCAAGCACTCTACCTACTATACTATCTCCATTCCTGATAGGTATCTTCTTTACAAATTAGATAATAGTTTTTTAAATAAATATATAGATATTAATCACTGTCACTGCCCTCCCGTTGTTCATCGATTTGCTCGAGCGGGCCCAGTAACATCTGCATTGGAGACTTTGTTGTTACTGTGTTTGGCATATCGAATACATCACGGGGAGCTTGTCAGGCTCTGCCGTGCAGGCAAGATACTCTCGGTAGCTTGCCGGGCTCTCCGAGAGGGGCGGAGGAATCGAACTTGGGTCGGCCATGTTGGCTGTGTGCAAGGCAAACGCCCTATCGTTGTGCTATTGCTCCAGCCCAGATATTAATATAACTAGTTATTTTTATATATTAGTTTTTATGTTTTTTAAAAGTCTTATTCATTAAATATCATTTAAAAGTATATTTCTTGATAAGTGTATTTATAGGTATTTAGCTCAGAACAGCTTTGTTTAAAAAGCAAGGAGACCCAGAGAGGCAAAAAAGTATAATGGAAGTGACATCTGCACTTGTTTGTTCATTGCAGCACTCTTTACAATAGCCAGAATCTGGAAAAAACCTGAGTGCCCGAGAACAGATGACTGGTTAAAGAAACTTTGGTACATCTACACAATGGAGTACTATGTAGCTGTTAGAAAAAAATGAAGTCATGAAATTTACATACAAGTGGTACTTCATGGAAAGTATCATGCTAAGCGAAATGAGTCAGAAAGAGAGGGACAGACATAGAAAGACTGCATTCATCTGGGGAACATAAAGTAACAAAATAGGAGACTAGCACCCAAGAATAGCCGAGATAGGTACCAGGAGATTTACCCCATAGCTTGGAGGACAGCCACACATGCTAGGGGAAAAGGCAGCTCAGATAGAGAAAGGAACACCAAATAAAGGGTATTGGGAGATTCCTCTCAGGATGGGAGATGTGTGATGAGAGTAGACTATAGTCCGAACAAGATTGCCACTCAATGTCTCTTTTGCAAACCACAGCACTCAAAAGGAGAGAGAGAACAAAAGGGAATGCCCTGCCACAGTGGTAGGGTGGGATTGGGGGGGGATGGGGGGTGGGAGGGATGATGAGACCCGTGGTGGTGGAGGATGGGCACTGGTGGAGGGATGGGTATTCAATCATTGTATAATTGAAACCCAAGCACAAACATTTTTAAGTCTACAATTGTACTTCATAGTGTTTCACTAATAAAAATTAAAAAAAAAAAGAAGCAAGGAGAACCAAGAAGAACTTAAAGACACACTCATGTGTTCATTAATTATGTTGTTTTGGGTTAGTAAAGACTGAGCATAATCTTATAGCTGATTTGTTTTTCTTCCTCCTTTTTTGGGTGGAGTCCTCAAACAGTGCTTCAGGGTCTGGGAACACTGCCAGTGATTTTTGACCCGCCATCCAGGCTAGATAGGTAGTTCAGTGCTAGGACATGGGAATATAGTTAATACCTAATCCTTAGGCCAAGCAAGATGTTTGAAATTCTTCATTATTTCCAATAGCTTATAATTTTCTGATTTGTTAGAATATCATTAGATTTCTTGAATATCAATATAGATAATGATTTAGAATATTATTATCTGCTCTTCTAACATGATGCTAGAATATCATTTTTTGTTAATCTGATAACACATTGAATTGTTTCATGTTTTAAGACAAATGTGTGCTTTTAATTTCAGACATTATATGAACAGTATAGTAGTGGTGAAAGTCATGATTCCTCTTCACTATCCAAGACATTTGACCAGAAATGGGGGAAAAAGTGACTGTCAAATATCACCAGTAAAATGCAGAGTGGACCCATACACTGAGTTCCCTGTAGAAATCTACTCTTGAAGACAGCTGCACTCTGAAATGTCATTGGCAGAAGAATTCAGTGGCTTGTCCTCAACATTGTAAACATAATAACCACTAAAGTAATTGTATATATTAATGTAAAATGGTTTGTGCTCTTTGCTTTAATGTAAATCTAATGTGTTTAACACCATTTCACAGTTGAAATTTGAGCAGACATCTGAAATATATCTGAATGGTGATGTAAATAAAGCTTTGTTGCGTATGATGACACTAAAATACCAAAGTTCTAAAATTGTTTTCTTTAAGCAAATGTATTGTTAATGCAGAAGCAAGGTTCTTTTTTTTTTTAAAAATTAAAACCCAAATCTCATGTTTTTAAGACATAGGCTTTATTGCTGAGTCAGGGAAGCAAATTCTTTTTTTGTTGTTGTTTGTTTTGTTTTGTTTTGTTTTGGGGCCACACCCAGCTGTGCTCAGTAGGGCTTACTCCAGGCACTGTCCTCGGGGCATTATGGGGTGCCAGGGTTCGAACCCGACCCAGCAAAATTCTTAACAAAATTTGATTGGTGGGGGAGGGGCACGCTCCTGGCAAGGCCAGGATTAGAATCACCGCGGCAGCTTGTAAGGCAAGTGCTATCTTTTGAGCCCAATACAGAATTAAGGGAGTACTTGAGAGTAGGTCTTAGTGAATAAAGCAGGCCTCTGCCGGTTTGAGTTTTAAAATAAACTTTCAGATTATTATGTGACTCGGATAGAGTCCCAGTCGTTAGGACTGGGCTTGGAATGCTCCTTTCTTCATACTATCTGCTGTGTTTGATATTTGGAGCTGGATTCTGTGCCATGTATTGTATATAGGAGAAGCCCTTCTTCTATGTCTCGATTGGTAATGAGTGAATATGAATTAGTACCGTAGTCTCTGAAACTGAGTCTAACTGGCTCAGGAATGATAGCATCGTAAGACTTAAAATTAAGACCTTTTTAAAGCATCTTCAGGTTTACAGCAAAATTTAAGAGAAGGTAGATTTTATATATCCTCCATGTTCCCCTAGAACCATTTACCCTATTAAGAGTAGAATATTTGTTGCAATTAATGAGCTTACTGTCACATAGTAATCTTAAAAGTTCATAATGCACATCTCACTCATTTGTACATTCTTTGGGTTTGGATAAGTTTGTAACTTGTGTCTATCATATGATCATGCAATGTCTGTGACTGTCATAATAATCCTCCGTGCCCTGCCTTTTTTTCATCCCTCCCCTGGTTTCCAGCCGTCTCAACCACTCCTTTGTACTGTCTACAGAATGTTATGTAATTGGAGTTATATATTTATGTGTATATGTACGTGTAGCACGTGGCTTTCAGATTAGCGTATGTCACTTCTTAATCTGCATTGTAGTTTCCTCCAAGTGTATTCATTGCTTGATAGTTTATTTTAGCACCTAATATTCCACTGCGGGGATGTACTGCTGATTTCGTTCACGTCCTAAAGGTCGTTTTGGTTGTCTCCAAGATTTTGGCCATTCCAAATAAACCTGATGTAAACATCTATGTGGAACATAGTTTTTGTGTGGATATAGCTTTTCAGCTCCTTTGGGAAAATGTCAAGAAACTTGAATGTTTGTCAAATGGTAAGAATATGTTTAGCTTTGGGGCTGGAATGATAGCACAACGGATAGGGCAGTTGCCTTGCGTGTGGCTGGCTAGGGTTCGATCCCCGGCATCCCATATGGTCCCTGGAGCACTGCCAGGAGTAATTCCTGAGTGCAGAACCAGGAGTAACCCCTGTGCATCACCGGGTGTGACCCAATAAGAAAAAAAGAAAAGAAAAAAAAATTTCTTTAAGTGTGTTTAGTTTTGTAAGAAACCGCCCCTTGTTTTCCATTGTTATTCTACCACTTTGTATTTCTATCAGCAACGAAAGGGTTCTACATGCGTGCCGGTATTTGGTAACAGTATTGTAGATTTGGACATTCTAGTAGGTATGTAATTGTATATTATTTTCATTTATATTTTCCTTTTTTGATTTGTGATGTGGTACACCTTTCCATATGCTTATTTGTCATCGGATGTCTTTGGTGAGATATCAAGGTCTGACTGGTTTTAAAAATTCATTATTTTTCCTATGTTATGAGGTATTTGTGTTACTTGAAAAGCAATCCTTTCTTGGATGTATCCTTTGCGGTGGTTTTTTCCTAGTCAATTGCCTAACTTTCTTGATATTGTCTTTTGCAGAGTGGAAGTTATTTATCTTTTCACCTCTTTCAGGTTGTATGTCCTTGGCGATATGTCTGAAATATCGCTTCACACTAACGCATACTAAACATTGTCCTGGTTTCCACTGGTCCTATCTCCTAGGAGATTTTACAATTCAACATTTAGCTGCATGGTTTACTTTTGTTTTTGTTTGGGGGCCATACCCAGGCCTTATTCAGAAATCACTCCTGCTGGTTCTAAGGTAGGAGGACTCACTATACTATATTTCTAAGGTAGGAGGACTCTCTAGCCCTTCTTTGGCTTACTCTTTAGTAAAGAAGATAATTTCTGCATCTTGTTCATTGTTTTGCACACCAGTGCCAATTATTCCAGCACCGTTTGTTGAAATTGCTCTCTCCGTATTACTTCTGTCAAGGATTGGTTACCTTTATGAGCGCCTTTGTCTGGGATCTCTGTTTCGTTGAGATTGACTGGGGTTTTTGGTCACTGTTTTTGACGAGGGTTCTCTGAGGGCAACCAGAGCCACAACTCGGCAGTACTCGAGGCCACGTGCTGTAGGAGTTAAAGTAGGTCTCATACGCACAAGACGTTTGCTCTGCTTTGTCTGTTTCTTTCATCAGTTCCACATTGTCTCAATACTTTTTTCTTAATTTCTCAGCATTTTATCAGATAACCATCTCAACAGCTCAAAAGATTCCATTTCTCGCCAAGTTGCTCCCATCCATCGTTTTGACAAATATATGACACCGTCATTTTAAGTCCAATAGTGAATGTTCTGAAAAATATGAAATGGTTCACAAATGTGCATATTGTTCATATGCAGGGGCCATGTAATCTACTCTGTATCATTCTAACTTTAGTATATGTGCTACCCAAGTGAGCACTTCGATACTGTCTTAATGGTAAATTTTGAAGTTAGGTGGTGTCAGTCCTTCAACTTTGACCTCCACGTTTGCTAGTCAGGGTTTTTGCCTTTCCATGAAAACTTCAGGATCTGTTAATTCTATAAGAAAATTGCTGTGAATTTTATGGAAATTGTGTTAAGAGTATAAAATCAAGTTAGTGTATAAAATCAGTAGCAGAATAACATTGAGATTTCTGTTCAAGGACACAAAATATTTAAATTTTGATTTTATTAATTAGAGTTTTGGAGTTCTCATAGACCTTTTTAATATATGTTTTTAGTTAAGTGTTTCAGTATTGAGGGTTTGATTGCTTCGTGTGGGGCCATACCGAGTGTTGCCTAGGGGTTACTCCTGGCTCTGCACACAGCAATCACTCCTGACAACTCTGGGGGACCATATGGGATGCATGCATCTATGTTATGCCAGGCTTTACACATTATACTATTCAGTTATACTGTTTCTCTGATCCCAAGGGTTTGAGTATAAATAATTGTTTTCACTTCAATTTATATGAGGAAGTAATTGAATTTTTGTGTGTTTCAGTTTTTGTTGATTCAGTGGATTTTCTATATAGATAATCATACCATCTGCAAAGAAGTTTTATTTCTTCTCAATCTGTATGCTGGTTTTTCTTATTCTACTAATATTTCCAAAATAATGTTGAAAAGGAGGGGTTTTAGATGTAATTTTTTATTATATATTCTCTTTATCAAAGAGATGCTGTGAGATGCCCTTTATCTGTTTCTGGGTTTGTCAAATGTTCTTTCTCAAAATATTGCTTCTATATTAATAACCATACAGTATTTTGAATGATTAGAGTGCTTGATTGGTTTACTTTTTCTATATCGAACCAAACTATATTCAGAATAGCACTGTCCCACTGTCCTCCCGTTGTTCAGCGATTTGCTCGAGCGGGCACTACTAATGTCTCCATTGTGAGACTTGTTCCTGTTTTTGGCATATCGATTACATGCTGGGTAGCTTGACAGGCTCTGCCCTGCAGGCGGGACACTCTTGGTACCTTGCCGGGCTCTCTGAGAGGGACGGAGAAATCGAACCGAGGTCGGCCGCGTGCAAGGCAAATGCCCTAGCTGCTGTGCTATTGCTCCAGCTCTAACCTGTGCCAGACAAGGGACGGACATTCCTCAAGAATCGGACTGCTCTTGTGCCAGCAGGCCAGATACTTCTCCCCTCCCCCGTGCTGGGTGAGTAACAATAAAAATACACTCTGTGTTCTTGTGATGACACTTTGGAGGATGTTTATTAATACTACTTTCCTGAAATAAGAATTTGAGATGCTCTCCGAGTTTTTTCCCTCCCTTTTCCTTTCTGCTCTAATTTTTTTTTCCCTGGGTGGTGGGGGACAGGGTACACTCGGGGTTGTGGTTTTTGGAACAGTGCTCAGAGGTCACTCACAGCAGTGCTCAGGGACATGCAGTGCTGTGGGGGTGAACCCAGGCCCCCTGTTGCAAGGCAAGCATGCCAGCCTGTTATTCTACCAAGTGTGTAAACATTTAAGAGGAAAATGTGTGAGTGGTGGGATTGGTTACTTACTAAAGTAATGCAACTGTTAGTGTCTCTATAAGGTAAAGGTAAGGTAAAGACCCTCCCGTTGATCGTCGATTTGCTCGAGCGGGCCCAGTAACGTCTCCATTGGAGACTTTGTTGTTACTGTGTCTGGCATATCGAATACTCTCGGTAGCTTGCCGGGCTCTCCGAGAGGGGCGGAGGAATCGAACTCGGGTCGGCCATGTTGGCCGCTTGTAAGGCGAACGCCCTACCCGCTGTGCTATCAATAATAAAGAATAAAAGGTAAAGGTAAAGACCCTCCCGTTGATCGTCGATTTGCTCGAGCGGGCCCAGTAACGTCTCCATTGGAGACTTTGTTGTTACTGTGTCTGGCATATTGTGTCTGGCTCTCCGAGAGGGGCGGAGGAATCGAACTCGGGTCGGCCATGTTGGCCGCTTGTAAGGCGAACGCCCTACCGCTGTGCTATCGGATAGGGGTACATATTCATGTATGTATATATGGAATATATATATATATACATATATGGAATGTATAATTTATGTGAAATTGATTTGTTACTGTGAATGCACTAAAGTAGTACGTTTGAGAGAACGAGATCAGAAAAATGCCTGTAATACACAGGTGAGGCAAGGAGGAGGTGATTGTTGTGGTTGCTTTCGTGCAAGTGTATTTCCACAAGAGTGAAGTGAAGCAAGAATGTAGTTGGCCTTCAGTCAAGTGGAGCAGAGATTCAGCTCAAACTCAGTTACAGTCTCCCCTTCATCTAAGGATATTATAAGATCCCTAACTTGCTTTTTAAAAGAAAATGCAAATGAAAACGAATCAGTTACGAAATAATAGTCTACCAGCTAGTTTTAACCCAGAGGAAGATCTGTCTGGCGCCAGAGCAAGAGGAATTGGAAAGCCTCGGGTTGGAAAATCTTTGGCAAAGGGCTGGATTGTAAATCAGAGAGGCACAAAGAGCCACAGCAGGGCTAGTTGTCTGCGGAGACTTGAGCGGCTGCCTTTCTGCCCTCTGAAAGGGGTCTGAACAGCTAAATAGGCCTGGTACATGGCCTCCTGCGTTTTGTGTGTCACTGGATAAATGGAAATGCTTCTGTTTGTGGTCATTTTGGTATTTTGAAATTCATTCATGTTTTGGGTCCACGGCTAGCCGTGCTCAAGACATACTCCTGGTTCTCTGCTCAGGCTTGTGGGGACCACATGGGGTGCCAGGGAAGGGAAGCCGGGTTGGCCTCCCTGACAGGCCAGGGCCCTATCTGCTGTCCTGTTTCTCTGACCCCCTTTTGGTGGTTTTCAAAATAAATGTCATCGTGAAAGGAAGCTTACCTCATATTAATTTACTTGAAAATTATAAAAGAAGGAAGATAAATGGCTCCTTGTATCATCTCCTTTTTAATTATGATAGCCACTTGGCATATTTGCAGGTTTAAGGTAATTTCATATTCTTTTCCTACTTACTCATTTCTAAATCATTTAAACCCTTGGTAAATAATTTGTGAGCATTACATTCCCCTGTAATGTTTTTGTTTGTTTTATTTTTGTTTTGGGGCCACACCCCATGGTGCTCAGGACTTACTCCTGGGTCTGCACTAGGGACCCCTCCCGGAGGGGCTCAGGGGGCCTGGATCGGCCATGTGTAAGCTGAGCACCCTACCCACTGTACTGTGGCTCCGCACCCCTCCCCCATGCGATGTTTTGTCACGTGAATATACAAGAATATTTACCTGTTTTGTGTGTAAGACAATTCTGAATAAGCCCGAATGATTTTCATATGGAATGAAAGTTCAGTTTTGTTCAAACGTGAGACAGAGAACTCTGCTCCACTACCCATCCTCTCTTGATTGAGTTCACAGGGCAGACAGACTCTTTCTCAAGAAATGCCTTTGGCTGACAAGAAGGACAACTGCGAAGATTGTAGATAGAATCATGCTTTCTTTTTCTGCAACGGGATTGCACTGGAGTCTTCCTGTGTTCAGATACGTGCGGTGAACTGATGCTCTTGGCCTCCAGGTACTTAGTTCTTTGTTTCTACCCTTCCTGTGATGTGAGGGGAAATAGTTGCCTGTCTGCTTGTTTTTAACTAGTGTAGTAGATGTCTTGACATTGTGCGGTTCTCTCAAATCTTGGTAGAGCCAAAGCATGAAAGTGTTGGCAGACAGTTTGCCTGTGTGTGCCGTCAGCTCTGAGAGGCTGGCTGATGGGGACGATGCAAGTTGTGTCCTTTTCCACCCCTCATGCTCCCGAGAGAGTCCTAGCTCACCTCTCCAGCACGCTCATTCTCCTACAGGGCTGACTCACCCTGTCATGACCAGCTGTTTTCCCCACCCCGATCAGAGGGCCCTTCACCTCCACACTCTTGTTAGAAAGGGCCCTCTTGTGGTAAAGCCAGACGCACTGAGAAGCTTGAACATTGGTGGCCCCGTGAGTCAGGATTCATAGCGCCCAGGTAGGTGTGGAGTGACAGGGAACCAGTTGTGGTTCTAGTCCTAGTCAGGAATTTCTGGTTTGGGTGTGAGTCTGAACAATGATGGATTTGAAACCATGCTACAGGACTCAATCTGGGCAGGCTTACTAAATGGGTCAGGTCAGATTGGAAGACATTATCAGTCACCGATTACCCAATCGATCCCTGAGATCCATCCTGTATAACAGTTTCCAAGCGTGCTTCCCAGGCAAGATGCTGATCTGAGAGTTCCTAAATCAGGCCCCCCCCCTTTTTTTGGGGGGTCACACCTGGTGATGCTCAGAGGTGACTCCTGGCTTTGCACTCAGGAATTACTCCTGGCGGTGCTCAGGGGAGCATATTGGATGTTGGGAATCGAACCCTGGTCAGCCGCATGCAAGGCCATCACCCTACCTGCTGTACTGTCACTCCAGCCCCGGAAATCAGACACTTTGAAGGTGAAGTTCAGTAAGATGTCTGTGTAAGTATCTGTCCCCCCACCCCACCCCCAACCCCACACTCTCCTTTAATTATTGTTGCAATGACCAGAGGACACACTCCTGGCTTTGTTGCCCCCTAGGCTCAGTGCTTCAACACACGTGGGTGCTGGACCCTGGAGATTACCTGTTTGGGGAGCAGGGAATCCCGAATGGAATGTCAGTGTCAGGAAATGTGCTCAGGCTGATGTAGGCAGGCAGGCAGATAGGGAAGGCGCCCTCCCAAAGCAATGGCAACAAGTTTTCCCGGAAGTAATAGCCCTGACCTTGCAGAGAAGAGACCCTGACAAGGCTGGACCTCCCTCACACAGAAGCTCCAGCAGGAACAGAAAGCCTGGAAAGGAATTTCAAAGACCATCACCTCTCCCAACCCCCTTGGTAACCTCCTTAGCAACCGACTTTGACCTAGGTAGAAGCCCCACAGGGGGGCAGATTGGAGAAACCCTATGAAAGCCACCTGGAACAAAGGGCAATGATATGCTTCCTGATGGCAGCTCCCCGCACC